CAAATATCTGTCCCAATTGTGGTCAAGTGTGTAAAAATCAACGAGGTGTAAAGATTCATCGACGAACTTGTGATAAAAAAGTAGTCAAACAAACTCCAATGAGTCAAGGATTGGTGTAAGAGACATGGGATTAGGGCGGATTAAATGCAAATATTCGCGAATTACCGAGAAGGCTGAACTATGGTGATTTGGTAAAAGGATGGGTACCTCCAAAACCAGATCCATGTGTGGTGTGGAGGTGGTACGCGGATGATACACCTTATCATCGATGGTTTTACGACGAGTGAACATGAAAAAAAATCCGATAAAACTTTTGCGTTCTCTTGAGCGCAACCAAAATTCAGAGACTTTTTGTTTTCCCATTTTTTTGATCTTCACCCTACACCGGTTTCCGGTATGGGTATGTTCTTCTTCAATTTTTGCTAAAATTTCAGCGAACAACAGTATAATAGCGAGAGATTATAACAACAGGACCGGATTAGATACAGTTGTGCAATAAAGTAACGGTTCAATGCTGGTCTAAAGAAACAGCACTAGGGAACACCTAATATTCTCCTTGCGTCACCTATAACTAATTCCTCATTAGACGAAAATTTCTATTACATTTTATTTCCAAGTGATGAACTTCGAGTTTGACACGAATGACAGAAAAAAAGCGTTCTTAAGAGTGGTAGTTAAAATTCCTGTTCTAATCATTATTTATTTAATTCTAAGAGTCAGCAAAGAAAGAGATAAGGTACGTACTGTGCTGGCAAAACAGATAAATTCAGCTGATATATAAACTTTTCCAGGCACATTTTGTCTATTGTGAGGTGTCCATAATGAACATAATGCTTCACCATCTAAACGTTCGTTTCTTGGAAGACGAAAACGACACTTGAAATATAGAATGAATGGTTCTTATGCAAATTATTGCACATGTTTTAATGTGTACAAAATTCTATAGAAATTGGATTAATGTATGGCAATAGTTAGATACTTATCTATATATTTCACTTCTTGATTTTGCATCGAGATCACGTTTTAATTGTGAAATTACTTTAGGTGCAGTTTTTCTATATAATAAAAATAAACATTGAATGAGAATTATTATTTAAACGAAATTGAATATACTTTGTCACTGTTGGAAAGAAATCTTCTTCTTTGAAAGCACCTTGATTAGACAATAATCTAAACAAACGATAAGATAATATCAAGATATGTAAATAATTAAAAATGAAATTTTTACTTTTTAGCAGCAAAATTTGCAAGTTGTTGTAACATTTGGAATGTTTCATCAGTGTGTCTGAACATAGTAAACTCATAAACATTTATCCTTGTTGAAACACGAATAGCTTCTGACAGATAAAGTTGAAGACGTTCTAATGACTAGACAAAATGATCGAAATGGTAAATAGTAAGTACATAAACGATCATAAAAATCTTACAGTTATATCAGTAAATTTCAGAATAATAGTGAAATCTTTGCCCAAAAAGTATGAATAAAAGCATAAATAATTTACGCTTAAATACATCGATCCTTGACGTGGTACACGACCTTTCCAGTATGAACATGAATAGTCTAAACAACCAAATAAGATTTATCTGCCTGTATAAATTAAGGACTATATTCAAATCGTACATGTAACAAGTTTTTCATCTAATGGCACTGAAAATAATGTATGAAATTTTTTAAATGCATTCTTAAATTTTTCGGATTCAAAATCTAAAACAAAACAAATTTCTATACAATCAATTGTAAAAGTTGACAGTGTATACCTTCAATTTCCTCTTCGTCTGGTTGTGGACAAAGACTTTTTATTTTACAAATAACATAATCTCTTATATCTACGCCTTTATCCATAGTACCTGAATAAATGAAATTTTCATGTAAAATGTAATATTAATACTCGAACACTGTCTATACCTAAAGTTGGCATCAAATTTTCTTCTATCCATTTCCAATGTTGTTCAATCTCTAGTTTTGTATCCGCTTCAGCAACAACTAAGAATAAAACAGAAAAAATAATTTTATTATTCAAACGATAGAATCAGCATACCTACGATAATAAACTTCTGAATCTGGACGTTGATGTATTATTCGATATCTATTAGTCTAAAATAGATACGAAAAGAAAATAATATTTAATCTATGCTAATTATAATCTTACTTTTGTTTCAAATACAGAATCAAGTGTAGCTACTAATAATGATGTGAATCCACTACGCTCTTTATCTTGTCCACGACGACGTTGTAAGGCAAAATAGGGATTAGCTTGGTCTGTAGACCTTAAACAGAACAAAATAAAAATAAATAAATAAATTGTTTATGATAGTGCTAGTTTTTATTTACCAGAATGCTGTAACTAATATTTCTGAAGGTTTCACCCACATGGAATCTAAAAAATTAAAGAAAAAAAGACTGTTTAAATTCTTATATAATTCATAATTCACTTCTAAGTGCCTACGATAGTTGTCTGAAAGAATTTATTTACTAAAAAGTGTTCAAAATGATGCGAAATACAAAGTACCTTAAGCAAGAAGAAGATATTGAACTCCATTGTAAAATATAGAAGAGAAACGAAATTTATCAAAAAACAAATCTAAATTTCTATTTGTCCAGCATTTACGACTGTATATCTGTTTAATTTTTTTCTAGGTTTATTTTGTTTTTTTCCAAAGTTTATTCAAAATAAAAGAACTCGAATCTTTTTCATCAAATGAGAGAAAGTCGTCAAATGTAGATTAACTTTTTTTAGTAGATCACAGTTTTTAAGGTCAATTTATGATGGAAATTCTCTAGTGTCCTGCATTGAATTTTTTTTCCGTAAAAACCCGATTTTTTGAAGGTTTGGATTGCTAGCAGCACGTCAATGAAACCTTTTCTCACATAAAACACCACATTCGAGAGTGGAAACAGTTCTCTATCGAACGTACACCTTAGACAAATTTGCTCTTTAGAAACGAATTTTAATTTCACTGTTCAAATCCGAAAAAAATCCGATGCAAGACGCTAATGGAGATTACAATCTAATATTAGTTTCTTTTACGGAATCCTTTCGCTTCGTCTAAAAAGAAATATTTTGAAAGGTCGCCCTCCAGAGATCCAGCATAAGTTTCTGAAGTAACATATTCGGACCGTGTCAGTTTGAAGAGAATATCGATTTACATATGAACACACATTATTAGTACTAACAAACAAGTTTTTCGAAGAATTGGAGCATTTTTAATTTTTTTAATTTGCTGAAATATTCAACTTATACACAATTTGCACACTGAATGTTTTTACAACTCTGTAGAAAACTCTTTGTTAGTACTAATAATGTGTGCGGATATATAACTCGATATTCTCTTCAAGCTGACACGGTTCAAATATGTTACTTCAGAAACTTGTGCTTGATCTCTAAAAATCCAATCTTAAAGATACATTTAGACAGAATTTTGCAATGTTCGTCATAAATCACCCATAAAAGCTGTGTTCCACTGGAAAGTTAGGTGGACATTTTAATGGTTTACCTCGCTAAATGAAAAGGGCTTTAACCACAGAGAGTAGCTCACCTTAACGTGTAGTTTATTGTACAGGGGCAAATTAATAATATCTCAGTGATGATTCATGTGTTTAAACTCAAATTCGTTAAAAAGTGATAGAAAAACAAATAAAAATGAAAACAACGTGCTTATCAGCAAAATTTCTTTCTGTTGCAAGTCAAGGAAAATGCAGTCAAAAAATAAAGTAAGATTAAGGTCAATTACAAAAAAATGCAATCAAAAAATGAAGTAAGATTAGCTGAAAATTATTGTACATTTTTTTCTTTTTCATCTTCTTCGGACGACATACCATTAATTTCGTCGTTATCGTATATTCGTTAATATATAATCTTTCCAAATGATGTAAAAACCTCGAAAGAAACAAATGTTATGTTTAAAATGAAATTTTCCGTCATTTATAATTTTTCTGCAAATTTTTTCAACTTATCTACCAACGTTGTACTAGCTTTATCTCGAAACAAAAAAAAATATACCAAAAGTTGTAAACCCCTTTCTATACCAGATGACCATAAGAAGATCACTGCTGACGATTTCTTCCTCTAGACCTCCTCTACGATTTTTGGCCGAAAATCAAATTGAGTTATTTGCTAAAATAGAAGACCATCGTGGTCTTCTATTATGGGCAGGGAGGAGGCTTATGGCATAATTGCTGTACGCTTTTACCTTTATATCATCGCATCTTGTCCAATATACTGTTCATGTCAAAAATATCATTTTGTTCTTTTTTGTCGTCTTTCATTTGTTCTAAAAAAACTTTAAAGTATTTTCAACAATAAAACAAATCTATCTGTCTCAATTATATTTAGAAACATTTACCTTGGCAAAAAGTGATCTATTACACGATATTAGGACTCATTCGACTGTCGAGTTCGAGAAGAGTAAAAGGACTATTATACCTCTTGGAAGTCATCTGTTCGGTATGATAGCAGCATCTCTTTTTGGGATGAGGAAATTTTATGATTTCAATGTCATTAGACAGCGAAGCTTTGAAAAGTGAAAATAAAACTCAGATGACTTACTGGATACCGACACCGCGTGGAAGCAACAACCAACTTAACACTCACTCACATCTATTTTAATATAGTTACTAAGTCGATGTGCATTAAGGAAAAACATATATTTCCCAATAAAAATTAATTACTCTAATGGCAATTTGTCTTGAATTTCAAAAAAAATAAATCGAACATGCCCATAACATCATATAAAATAACCTATGTAATTCTACATATTCTACAGACAGAACGAAGAAAAAAAGACAACTCTTGTAACCAAAGTTTTTTTAAAAGTATAATGATGACGTGATCATTTTGCTGTTCTTTTTTCGTTTCAATGAATCTTATTGAAAAGAAGATGGGTGTTGTACATCTAAAAATTGATTGCATTTTTAAACAAAGATAATGGTTTTTCTTTTCTTTTTCTATCAAAAAATAGTATACGTTCTGCTTATAAAATGAAGCATTCAAAAGATGATGATGTGTTGTTATAAAAAAGAAATTTTAATCTGAAAAAACCGGCCGCAAATTGCACTCTTCCTCTGGTTTTCTCTTCTTCATCTCTAGGCGTGAAATCGATGACGTGTACGTAAACAAGTGTTTGTTGTTGGTCAAATGGCAGAACACAAAATGAAGCCATCTATTTGGTGTTTTTTCTCAATTAGATGAAAGTAAGATGCCTTTTTTTTACCATAACTATAAATATATATTTTTGTTAAATGAATCGACTAATATTTTTGAAAAATAATGAATATTCATTTGATCTTGATATAGTCACGTCTATCGTCTGTTGTTGTAGTGCTAATAATGATGATATATCGATTTCAAGATTTTTTAGTAATTGTTTCACTAAATCACGTTTATTTTTGTTCCATCTAAAAATTTAGAAATAGTAAACCTACTGCATAAGAAAGAAACCTAGATATTGACGAACGAACTTTACAGCAAAGAAAACAACTGATGAGCTAGTGTTACAGTACTCCTTATTATGTACTAATGGTATACCGATAAAAATTCAGATAAAGTTTTACGAGCCCCGTTTTGGCGGACTTTTGATTGGGGCTCGTAAAAATTTTGTTGTACTTGGTGACCACGATATTCTGCGAAAACGGAAAATATCACATTTTGTTCAGCTCACTTTTCTCTACAAGACTAGATGTAAACAATTCCTTAGTTTCCTTTTGTTCGAACGCCAAGAGACTCGCAAAACAACAAACGTCGTGACGGAATCACGCGTTACGTGGACAGGCCGTAATCTTTTTTTTTTGTTTTAGTTCATATCTGCTAGAATGGTCAGATATAAGTGTTATTCTAGTACACATGGCATTTAATGACACTATCGTAGCATCCTATGCCTATGCATCAGCATCCAATTTATCATTGTTACCATATTCAGACAATTCACCATTCATAATCGAATCATCCGGTTTAGGTGAGAAATTATTAACAACTGTCACTTCGACATTGGTCACATTATTACAAACAACAAAAAATTTAACAATACCGCCGACACATCTCATTCGTGACCAAACAACATCATATCCATTTGTATTTAATTCTTCTTCTTTATTATCTACTGTCTTTTCATCTGTACCACTAACATCTACTGCTTTTCATACGTCCCTCTCTTCTACCACTACCTCCACCACTACCACCGTCACAACAACAACAACTTTCATTCGATTTTCTCCATCATCGAGTGTGTCCTATTTACCTGTCGGATCGGCAACACCATCAACAACTCTTCGTTATAAACCTGTAACATCGTCATCCACATATATTCCGGCAGAAAACGATTATTTTTTATTTAAAACAAATTTTCATCGTATAATACGTATCGTTGAATTATTTATACTTAGTTTAACATTACCGTTGTATGCAATTGTTTTAATATTATTTATTGAAATAAATATTCAACATCATCGTCGTAAACGAATGAGAAGTCTTATGTGGACAAGTAATTATTTGTTAGTCGATTTTATCGGTTTACTCTATGAAATTGTCTACGTTATTATCCATTTAACAGGTGATCTTAAAATAAAAAGTACATTTGGACTTATTTATTGTCAATTTCAATTGTATATTCCACTTTATTTAACAGCAACAATGGCCTATAGTCTTATGGCCATATCAATCTATCGTAGAAGACATTTCATACGATTAGACGGACAAACAAGACATTCAAAACGAATTAGTTTCATCATGATTGCATGTTTATGGTTAATACCATTGATAACATCAATTATACCAGCTTCAATATTAACACGATTTAACATAATGAAAATGTTTTATCATGAACATACAAATGAATGTCAGATTAATTATAGTTATAGTTCAGGTGTTGAAGCTGCATATATGTTTTATAGACTAGGTAATTCAGAAAGGATCACAAATATTTTCCTCTTCTTAACAAATACACCTGTTTCAAAATGATACCGAATTTTACAGCAGATAACGAATCTATCAGATAAAGACAGCACTGATGTATTAATAGCGTCTCATAAAATATTATAATCCCCCTAGCTCAAATCAGAAAATTTACTCATCGTTTTAGATTAGGGGATGGAATTCCTCCTCGTTTGGATGGAGTCAGATTAACTTACTCAGACTTTTTTGAAGAAATTTTAGCGAGCAAAGTGGCACTTATTTAGCTGAGTAAGTAAATTTTTTTAACGTCGAAGTAACTCGTTTTTTTCCTATCGTTTCCTTCATATTGTTGATGAATCTTGTTTTAAAAAGCATTTTTGATGAAGAAGCAAAATACGCAGTAATAGCAAACTCATTTTTCAGTCTTCAATTAACTCAAACAACACTTTACTTAGTCACAGTCATCTGTCACGACGAAAAGAAAAGTAACGTTAGATTTTTTCCTGGTTATGTCTGGATCCAGATGTTTCACACGCTTTTACGGTGAATGTTTGACTGGAATGTGCGATAGATCTAATATTTACTATTACGTCAGCAAAAATCAACTTTTTTTGCAAAAGTTTGGACAAAACTACGACTCTAAGGTAAAGTTGGACTTTCTCAACGAAACATTTAAACTTGACTCTAGCATTGGATATCTTTGTAGAGCATGCTGTAGTGAGATGCGCGATACTTTCATTATGTCCAACAAACTTCAGAAGAAAACAAAAGTCGTTAAGTTTTGATAGGTGGTAAGTGATAGTAGGGGACCGACTCAGCAGACTTTCCATCGAAAACGCTGAGTGCACGCTGAGTGCACTGTGTATTAGAGGAAAAGCCAGATAACTAAAACAACCAGCTAACTCTACCTGCTTATGTAATTCCGTGACGTTTTTCTATGATTTTGTTTTATTTGCAAAAATTTTTGAAAAAGTCACAACTCAAAAGTAAATAAACCATTTTGTAGACAATTTTTTTTTAAATTCTCTATCGACTGACCTGATTTTGAAACGTTTTAGCGAAAATCTCTTGGTTAGGAAATTCAAAACACTGAGAGCTACTTTTTGCATATCTTTTTTATAAATTTATTAAAGCGACTCTCATTGGTTTGAATTCCCTAACCAAGAGATTTTCGCTAAAACGTTTCAAAATCAGGTCAGTCGATAGAGAATTAAAAAATGTCTACAAAATGGTTTATTTACTTTTGAGTTGTGACTTTTTCAAAAATTTCTGCAAATAAAACAAAATCATCAAAAACGTCACGGAATTACATACGCAGGTAGAGTTAGCTGGCCAGGCCGAGCAGTAAATGAACTGTCAGCTAGAGAAGTAAATTTAAAATAGATCGAAATTTACGACAGTTTGTCGGATATTTCTTCTAACCAAGAAAAAAACTGATAATTTTTTGTCAGTAAGGATAAATAGCTCACAGTGATATAAAGTAAGAAATTGTTGCATATTGTAGATGACACTTAAAAAGTGCATCATAGTTCTCATAATTCGTATTATTTCTTCCTTTCTAGGTCATATATTTTTGCTGCCATTAACTGTCTCATTCATCTGTTATTTGACAATATTTTTAAATTTAATTCAAATGCAAAAACGTTTTGATCGTGAATTTAAACGTCATGTTCATATTCGAAAAAATCTTATATTACAAATTTTATTTTTATTTTTAAATTTTGCCGTATTTTGGTTACCAGCTGAAATCATTACAATTATGTCAAAAAATCGTATATTAAAAGATACTGTACAAGTGACAAAAAGTTTAAATATTCTATTAGATCCAATTATTATTACTGGATTTGATACGAGATTTTCAAATGCTGCTAAACAATTATTGAAAAAATGGCGACTTTATCAGTTATTATGTGCACGACGTTCATTGAGTGAACCAAGTGCTCAAGGTACAATAACATCGACTCGTGGTGGTGGTCATCTTTATCGAACAAATGCAAAAAGAAGATTGGCAACAGTTAATACGGATATCATAGAATTTAGAAAAACAAATAGTTTATTTCGAAAAGCAACATTGGATAGAAATAAACGAAAACCAAATACAATTGCTTTAGAAGAATTCACTCAAAATCAACCAAATCATCATCCACTTATTTTGCCATCAACACATTATCGATCAAACTCAATAACAACAAAAGATGTCCAAAAACAACAACAACCAAACCGTATTAAAACAAATATTCAACATCATCAACGTTCACGTTCATATTATCAGGAAAATTCTTCACCAATATCTCCTCATAAACGTAAACGAACAATAACCGTACCACCCGGACAACTTTCAGCAAATTCTCTATCCACAAGACACCGTCGTTCAACTAAATATAGTTTAGAAACGGATCAAAACAAAAATAAACAAAAATTATTCATAAAATCACAAGACAACAATATTGATAATATTACCACATTGTAATACTCTATTGTTGAAATTAGTAATTGTTTAAAGTTCTCTATTAATAGATTCAATCGAAATATTTCTTTCCATGTATTGTAGTCAAATGTTGCCTGTTTTTTTATAATAAATATTTTGAATGTGAGAATCCAAGAGGGACGCAAAACAGAAAAGAAGCTGATTTGAAGATAAACTATTTCTAACAGCTAAAAATTAATCAGGACTAATGGAACAGATATGATAGCCAGCTAAAAGCCTTTCAATTTCTGTGTACGTATTAATCGAGGAGATTTCTGATGTGCAGATTATCAGTAACTAACCTTTCGTAATCGCATTTGACCATGAATGTAGCTTTAATGTTTAACTAATTTGTTGTATGCCGTGCACACATTTTAATCGAACTGAAACAAAGAAAAACAAAATCGATAAAATACAATTTATTGTCAATGTGACGTGCACATACTCATACCATGATCTATCCAGGCGTATCAGCCAAGAAGTCACGTAACGTAAGTCCGTAAGGTTTCCTGAAATTCATAGCTCTTCAGCCGAGCGACGTAAATCCCATAAAACTCAAAGCGTCGAGTTTTTCCATTGATATTAAGTGACAAAGACTATTTTCAATTTAGTTAGCGTACCGTGCACTTCAGTTTCGTTGTATATTATATGTGTTTGACATGAAGTGACTCATCACTTCTTTTCAGTAATGGGGATTGGCCGATTGAGTCACAGCTAATATATAAGAGTTTTTCATTCCGAGCTTGATATACGTATATACGATTCATAGCTACATGTAGTAATAAATGTTATATTATATATTAAAAAAAATGAACTATATCGAACGACAGGGACGCCAAACGCATCGCTAAGGAGAAATCAGCTGTTTATCCACTGGTGCATTCCAGACCTTGTAGGAAAATACTGGGAACTAGGCCCCATCGCGCTCCATAGAATTACGGCACCTCTTATTTAAATGAGAAAACTCAGTCGTGTAGATCTAAGTGTATGAAAAAGGATTCACATCAAGTAGTAAACAGCAAAAAATAAGTTGAGTGTCAATGGTACGTGGTCTCTTGACATGAAGCAGTGGGAGAACAGCCAATGAACAGCCAATGCACCTAAAAAAAGAGACTGATTTTTGCAAAACTTTATCTAGTACATATTATAGCTGATATCAAGAGCTTTTAGAATATACATTCAGAGTTCTCTTATCAGAAGCCATTACTGAGATATCAGCGTTTTTCAAAAAAACTGCTTGTCATGGCAACAGCGTTAAAATTCTTAGAGTTGTTGAAGTGCTCTGTTAATATCCAGATTTTTGTCACAATTCTGGATCTTCATACTATTATTCAGCCAAAAAAAATGATGGAATGGTCTATAGGGTCTGGCAATGGTTCCTTATGATTAATCTCGTTTACTTATGTAAGTGCGATTTTTTGAAAAACCCGTAACTACTTCTGGTAATAGAACTCTGAATATAGAACTCTGGTGGCTATCTGCGCTGGCCATTCTACCTAAAATCGTATAAAGAATAAACTGTCTTGTGGACTTTGTTTGACTATCTCAGTAAATTCTGATGGCCCCGGCGATGATAAAAAACTAATTTTCTCGACTGCCACTTTCATTTTCCTCAGAAAACAGGTTTTCGCTACGAAAAGTGTAATAATCCGGGAGCCCATTGTGATGTAAATCAGAGCTGAGTAAGTCAGAGGTGTTGCAAGTCACAAGTAAGGTCAAGCCAAGTAAAGTCCCCAGGTGGTTTGTTACGGTTATCGTATACGCCGTCTTTACGGCCGTAAACGATTAAATACGGGCCAGTTACGCACTGTATTTTACCGTAAACCAGGCTGGTGTTTTACGATCGTATTTACGCCGTACCGTATACGGCGTGTTTACGGCTTAAATAAGATCATCGTATATAGTCGTATATGTGTTGTAAATGACCGTAAGCATACCGTATTTCTACCGTATATAGGCGCTTCACGGTCTGCAATTATTTGAACGATAGGTTTGCTTTCGTCTAATTAATATTAGTTTTATTGTCAGATCACGTAAGAATTCATCAGATCTTATAAGATTATGTGCTTGATCGTGTTCTACAAATTTCCTTTAGACCCTCTTAAAAAAGTATCTTTCTCTATTCATAATATATTATGGCATAGGTAGGATACAAACATCCTTAGGATCGTGTTTAACCACGTTCCGTATAGCCATGCACTTTATTTGCGCTCAGCTAATATTTGAAGACAAAGAAAGAAAAAAATTCTAAATTTATCGTAAGAACTATATTATATATATATATATAATACTCAATATCACAGCAAACTTTATGTGGTAAGAATGAGTCATCGATTCTTGCCAGATCATATAAGGTCTTATAACAAGAAATCGTATGATCTTGCGATAAGAAATAAATATAAGTCACATCTCTCAATGTTGTAAGATGAGTTTCACCTGAGACGGCCTAGTTATATCGCATATACGGCGGTCCAATACGCATTTAAGTAGCACCGTAAACGAACACCGTATACGGCACCGCATTATATCGTAATACGCTTACGTACCGTATTGTTCGATCTACATCGGATTAGAATTATACAGAGCATAAAATTTGCTACCATCTTTTCGGTCAGAGCGACCTTTCATAGCCTCGGAAACTCTGTCTCATGGTAGAACATGCCTAATTCGAACGAAAATCTCTTGCAAGAGATGTTTTGATTTGAAAATGTTTTTTCAAATCAAGTCAAGCCAGACTTCACTTGGATCTGAGGCATTTCTAACGTGATCTGGCCAGCTCTGATAGAAATGACATAAAAGGGCCTTGAAAATTTTATTCTAATACATCAATCGATAGATCTCGATGAAGCCTGTTTAATAATGTGCAGTTCAATGCGTTTTATTGCCAGCGAAAGCATGTTTTATGCAAACTTCTGAGCAAATGTATCATTCAAGATTCTTCAGCTTCAAAAAATAGCTACTACGTGACAATGCTACCAGACGTACATAACTAGAGTTGTATCCCCAAGCTTTATCAAATGATTTACGATAAAGTTAAATTTCGTGTATTTTTCATGGGGACATGACGGGTTTAATCTCACGGGATATTGTGGACTGAAAAAATTTCCTGAGACATTTTTCGACGGTTTAAGTCGATGTAAACCAGTGTACGGATTTTTATTTGCGCATTTTTTATACATGGTAGGATAGAGCTTGTCGATCTGGACAAAATATGTTTTAATGTCTGAAAAACCTTTTTCATGTCGCAAAATTCACAATATTTGAAGGACTTCAATTTCGAAAAACACTTCTATCTTGGACTCTCCCTGTAAAAAGCTCCTAAACAGTTTTGCAAACTTATCTAGTTCTTTTTGTAGAGGGATGAAGCCCTTTCTTTCCTTCATTATAACCGCCATTGAACGAGGTTTAAAATATAAAGCCCTGTTTGTTTATTTTGTTTCGTCACTGAGAAAAGTCATTTTTTTTAGATCTCTCCAAATCAGATCAATTATGTAGATATATATAATACTAATAATTCCTTTTCCTTGTAGCACCCATGGGCAAAAAAAAGGAATTTACGAAACTTTCCCACGTTTTTAAGAGCAAAAGATTTTCCTACAAACTATTACAAGTAAACCAAGGCATTATCATGAAACTTCCGTATGAACTCGGTAAAAAGATTACGCTAGTTTACCCATAAGTATTCTTTTACATGTAAAACCGACGACTAACGTTCGATTTTACGACGGTTTACTCGTAAGTTTTTCAAAAATCCTCTCTTATTTTACGAAAATCATCCAAACTTTTCCGAAAATTATCCCCATCTGTAGTATTATACTCAACCCTGCCAATTATTTGAAAATACAAATGGCTTTATGTTTTCATCTTGATAGATAGCTCTTGCTTACACTTGCTTTCTCTCCAAAATACATTACATTCATACAATAAAATCAGTTACAGTTGAAGCGGTGAATTATATTTATTAATTAAACATGAAATATTTTACATTCACGAAAAGAAATTTCAATTCATAACACACATACACAAAGTCACTTCTCCAATACCAAATTCAATTAGAAGTAACGAGGGAGATCATATTTACCGAGTGATTTTGAATAAACTGTTACAGCCTTTTTCAATTCTTCCGGTATTTTCGACTTAACTAATACTACACGAACATTGGCAAATAAACCCTTTGGAATGGGAAACTAGATTGAAAAACAGAAGAAACGATACAAATCATCCATCTTACTATAGTAACCAACTTACTTTATAGTAATATGTTTCTCTTCCTTGCTTGTCTGTTGTGCGAAGAAGACTGACTGGGCGAAACCAGATAAAGTCAGCTGGAACATCGAATGTCTCTCTCACTTTCTTCGTTACCCATTCTTGGTACTAGAAAAGTCAAACTACCGTTCAAAAAACCATTCGCAGGCTCTTTTTGTATCACTTACTCGTTCAAACAAGCTCAAATCTTTGTCTTCAAAACGTCTTGGTCGTTCATCACCCTTTCTATCACTGCGATCATCATTGCTATCCATGCGATCATCCTTGCTATCCTTGCGATCATCCTTGCTGTCATCCTTGCTATCATCCTTGCGGTCATCCTTGCGATCATCCTTGCGATCATCCTTGCTGTCATCCTTGCGATCATCCTTGCTATCCATGCGATCATCCTTACGATCATCCTTGCGGTCATCCTTGCGGTCATCCTTGCGGTCATCCTTGCGGTCATCCTTGCGGTCATCCTTGCGGTCATCCTTGCGATCATTCAAAAAGCTGTATTGATTAAAATATCTCATTTAATAGTCGTTTGAAGATTGATTTTCACAATCCATGACGCGTCAATGGAAGATTGTGTCTTCCACCAAAGAGGGATAAAACTCAGTCTTCATCATAACTATGATTTATATGAATTCTGTTTATGATATGAACAACATCGCTAGTGAACAATGGATCAAGTCCTTCAAATAGCGAGAAGACGCGTCACGTGTTCTGACTACTCTCTCTGGTATCATTACTAGTATAGAGATAATTTCTAAAGGTAAACAAAATCAGTCGAAAACAAGAATCTACTGAACTGTTTCGGATGTTATGTAGGTGGATATATCTAGAAAATGATGAATTGAACGGTACTATTCTTGGTACTGGTGGTATTATCAATTCAGATAATATTAAGAGGAATAGGATGATCGATCATTGAGAAATATGATAGGAGAAACGAAATATCGATTTGAAGTACTCTAAAGAAAACAGTTAAGGATGCAGTAACAGCAATGTTTATGGTATTAAGAACATCTGTGGTAAAATTGGAATGCTGTTTTCTGTAGTGATGGGATGTTTTTCAGAATGAAATGTTGATTTATATTCAATATATTTGTTGGTTACTCACTTATGTACTTAGGGTTAGTTTGAGGATAGGGGAAGCAAGGAAACTCGGGTTTTGCATGCAGGTTTTCTCCAAGATTACACTATTAGCTGTAAATATTTTCCACGTGAGCGAAAATCGATGTAGAAAATCCTCGAGCTTTTCAACATGGTTACGGTATACTGTATGGTATTTGTAATAAATTGCAAAATTCATAGTTCACTTTTTACTACGCAGAAAATCAGCATCGATTTTGTAGAGAGTCGGTATCATTTGAAGTAGTGAAAAGAAAACGGAGAAACGCGGATAATGTGGCAACCGTAACATCTCAGCTGAGATACAATCCATATTTTAATCAAGTATCTAATTGAGAAATCAATATTTCTACGAAAATATTCGTTTCTCAACTGACATACAATTTTGACACGTGCGTCTATTATTCAATAGTTATATAAATGTGAAACAGTAATAAGACATTTCAAAAAGAAATGGATTTTGTTCGAAAAGAAACGCAAAGAGGCGTTCCTTCCATATTGTTTCAAGAAAATCTTTTTCGCCATCAACGTACGAATAAAAGTGGAAGTGAACGATATGTTTGTATGAGTAAGGGGCAGCGGAATTCATAGAACTCTACATCGATAAAATTTTCAAGATTAGCAGAAAGAATTCAGAAATAAACATCAAGCTATCTCTTTCAACTCAAGAATAAAACAATTGTTTACAACAAGAATACAACAAAAATTCAAAATGTGACTTTTTATCAATTCTTGGAATTCGACAATTGAGAGACGCACCTTAGTTATTTCAATTCAAAG